CAACAAAGGAGGCTTGTGGCAACCACATGTGACGACCCCGGGCTGGACTCCGCTTCATCCATGGTGAAAGCCGATCCGGTGATCCACAGCGCGAAGCCGATGTTTTTCCTCAGCAACCAGCACGGATCAGCTCTAGGCATGAGGAAGCGGATATCGTCCTCCTTTTGGAAGACCAAACAAAGTAGTTTCGCTTTCACAACGAAACACACCGCGCCTTCACGACATGGCAGCGGTAGCAACAACACTACTACAGCGAGAATAAAAGTTACGCTGCCTTTCTTTGCGTGAACATTTGGGCAGCGTTATGCAAATCTTCCCACACAGTGACATAGACGTGGGGGCGTGTTAGAACGAGCCGTTTTAGGTAGGTGTGGCTGACTCTTCACTTTTATAAAGAATATCTCTTTGGATTTGAGACTTTAGTCTTTGCAACTTTACAGATCTTCTTTATGCACCAAGAGCTTGTAACACTCCAAAGAGAAAGGAAAAATTGAAATCGCATCATATGACCACTTTAACTCTGTTAGTGACAGACTTTTCAGTGTTATACACTAGGGTTGGGCAAAAAAAAAATAGATTTTTCAATTAATCATTTTTTTTAAATGACGTCGATTCGATATCGATTCTCAAAAGCCGCGAATCAGTCTTTTCCGGGATTTATTTCAGCACACATTTAAAATAAGATCTGATTAACGTGAATCTTATCATTAGTCTTCTCCACTAGATGTCACCCTTATTTACCTTACGCGATGTTACAACAGAAAGCCTGTCATACGCGGGGAATACACAGGGGAAATGCTATAGTAATACTATAAATCTGCAGAAGCATTTGATATCACGCATAAGGCGCCATGATTTCCGCAATGAATGAATGGCGGGGTGCACTGTTTTGTTTACTACACACTAGGGATGTCAATTTTTGATCATTTCCATGATCGATCGTCGTTTAAATTAACGATCAATTAATGGATTAATCGTTAACTTTAATGCAGCAAAATGCGTCTATTGCAGCGGCACAGGATGACAGGATGTGCAAAAGCCACTCAAAAAAAACCTGCTTTCTCACCCGAATTAAAGGGGTTTTAGTCTGAATAAAATGCTAGCAGTAGGATTGTAAAATGAATAGATGTGATTATGATCATTTGATAAAATGAAGAGAGCGCGCCGTACGTTTGAGATCATTTTACTTTGTTGGCTGTTTCCTATCCCGACACGGAGACCGCTGAACGCGCCTCTTTAAATGGTTTCGTGGTGCTCGTTATTGTATTTTAAAACACTATTGCAATGTTTTCAACTGACATTATGGCATTTAAAATAAAATGATCCCAAACGTAACTGTGGCGCGTGTGGCTGTGCTGCGCAGTCAGTGAACCGCTTCCATCGGCGCTGCTGCAGCAAAACACACTGTTGCTCACATCAAACATTATCATGTGAGTATTATGACCAGTACTGAATTTGATCCTGCTGGATTCTGTTCCGAAAAATGTCAGATTTTAAATTTTTGTGTTCCGGTAGGCCTATTTGTTTTAAAAAATCCGGCATCTACAGTGCATTAGATCGTGACAGTGCATGCTTGCGTGCATATGAGACTGAGCGAGCGTGGGTTTTGCTAGATGTATTTGGAGGTTATTACTCGTGTCTCATTCGGCACAAATCCAAATGTTTCCATATTCGCAATGTATTTGAATGTTATTTGCTGTACTTTGGATCAAATAAATGCAGCCTTGGTGAGCAGAAGAGAATTCTTAAAAATATATATATATAACAACAACAAAATCTGGAAATGTTGCTGGAGACATCAGATAACCTCACGTGCATGATGCGCCATTTACGGGGGCTTATTTAAAATGAAAACTCATTCTCTGCCAGCAGGAGTCGCTTTTAGAGTGATAAAACTGGTAATGTATATCGAAATATCGGAAATGTGTTTAAAAATCATATCACCATTATTGAAAAATTATATCGCGATACATATTGAATTATTGTCCA